GTTGAATATCTAATCACTGGCTAAGATTAGGCTTATTTATACTGTCTGTTCTATTCCTTTGATTAGTATGTCTGTCCTTAAACCAAACCATACTGTCTGTGCTACTGTAGGATCACTGAAAATCTTGAAGTCAGGTAGTGTAAGTCTTCTCCTTTTTTATTTTTTTTTCCCCAGGGTTGCTTTGGATAGTCCTCTGCATTTCCACTTAAATTTTAGGATCAGTTTCTCATTTGAAAAAAGAAAGAAAAAAAAGAAGACCTGGGTAGTGTTTATTTTGAGATTTTACTGTATCTATAGATAACTTGAGGTAGAAATTACATCTTACCAATATCAGCTCTTACAAGCCACTACCTAAATCTTTTCAAATTCATCTAAGCAAAATAAACATTTGTGAGATGCAGTTGAAGCAGAGTTTAGAAGGAAATTTATAGCCTTAAGTGCTTATTTTAGGAAAGGTCTATGATCAGTGACTTAAGAAGCTAGAAAAAGAACAAAGTAAATGCAAAGTGAGTGCAAGGAATGGAATAAAGAAAATAAGAGCAAAAATCTGTGAAATATAACACTATTAGCAGAAAAATTTGCCAAGAAAATGTTGAATGTCTGAAAAGAAAATGATATATTGTAAATAATGAAATTTAAAAATAAATGTTAAAATAAGTAAATTAAAAAAAGAAAATGATATATTGCTACTAAATTATATATTGCTGCATAGACTAGTCAAGAGAAAAAGAAGACATAAATAATTCAAGAGTGAAGGGGAAGTTACTACATATTCTTGATACTTTAAAAGGATACTAAGGGGATATTATGAACAAGTTTCTACTAACAAGTTTAACACTTTATATGAAATGAATGAATTTTTGAAAAATACTACGGATACAGGATGGGACAAAATCTGAATATAGTACATTTTTTTAAGTAATTAAGTTGGTGGTGGATCCCCGAACCTGCACAAGTGATAAAAACATTCCATATTTTAAAAGAATTACACACCATGCCCAAATGGAATTTATTCTACATATGCAAAGCTCAGCATTAGAAACTCTGTACTATAGATTAGTCAATTTATATATCCTCTGATAGAAGCTTTCTTTTCAGCTCTCTTCCTTTCTTTTTAAGTCCTCAGCAAAGTCACATTTGTCATCCCTATTTCTACCAGCAGTGTCTTCTTGCTTTTTCTAGTATGTACCTCAACTATTTCAGCCTCTAACTGTCACCTAGTTCCAAAGCCACTTCTACAAATTTTAGGTATTGGCTATAGCAGCATCCCACTTTTTGGTATCAAGATCAGTATTAGGGTTATTGAGTAACAGAACCATTTGGATGTATGTGTACACACACACACATACACACATACACGCACACACACACTCCTCTTTCACCCTGATCAAGAGGCTCTTTAGGGCCTCTTCACTTTCTGCCATTAGAGTGGTGTCATCTGCATATCTGAGGTTGTTGATATTTCCTCTGGCAGTCTGGATTACATCTTGTTGAGTCATCCAGTCCAGCATTTTGCATGATGTCCTCTGCATGTAAGTTAAATAAGCAGGGTGACAATATACAGTCTTGACGCATTGCTTTCTCAATTTTGAACCAGTCTGTTGTTCCATGTCTGGTTCTGACTCTTGCTTCTTGACCTACATACAGGTTTCTTAGGAGACAGGTAAGGTGGTCTGGTATTCCCATCTTTTTAAGAGTTTCCACAGTTCGTTTTGATCCACACAGTCAGAGGCTTTAATGTAGTCAATGAAGCAGAGTAGATATTTTTTTGGAATTCCCTTGCTCTTTCTATGATCCAACAGATGTTGGCAATTTGATCTCTGATTCCTCTGCCTTTTCTAAGTCCAGCTTGTACATCTGGAAGTTCTTGGTTCATGTACTGCTGAAGCCTAACTTGAAGGATTTTGAGCATTACCTTGGGAGAGGGTCAGTCTTTTGTTCTACTCAGGCCTTTCAACTGCTTTACTCAGTCTTCCTATTTAAGTGTTAAAGTCTTCCAGAAACACCCAGCTGCTGCTGCTGCTGCTGCTAAGTTGCTTCAATCGTGTCCGACTCTGTGCAACCCCATAGAAGCCCAGAATAGTGTTTAAATGTTTGGGCAACCTGTGGCCAGAGCAGTTAATGCATAAAATTAACTGTCACATATTTTAATATTTATTTTATATTGTCTTAAAATCATGGAGATGGAATATTATGAAAGTTGTCTGTTTTCCAGGGATTAATTCAGATTCTTATCAAAAGTGTTCCCTTTTTTCAAATATGGACCAAGTCTTAAAATTCTTTTGATTGTTAAAAGCAGTGAATGCACAGCATTCTTTCTTCTATTGTAATCCAGTACCTGTGGCATCTGTTTAACTCACTGGTATAATTTTATTCCTTACAATTACAGCTGCAGAAGGAAAAATTTCTTTAAGAAGCCATTAGGCATGGATTTTTTTTCTGTTTCCTTTGGGATGTTTGTTGTACATCCCAAGATGGACAGTTGTTGAAATACTTATTGGTCTGAAAAATTAATTGGCATGAGAGTAGCTGTAGGTTATAAAAGAGTTTATAAACTGATCATTTTTTTTATATCTTGGAAACTTTCGTGATTATCTAAAAAGAATTACCTTGGCAAAATTTTATTTCTTCTTTTATTGAGGAACTTGCATGCTTAAAGCCACAGTGAACATTGTAACTCTTAATCATTTTTAGTTAAAATTTGTCACATTACCAGATAGGCACAAAAATTTTGATGAATGAACAGCCTTAGTAGAGACTAAGGCTCCCATAAGGACAGTGTTAACTGTATTTAAATCAGTCACTGTATTTAATACAAAAGACACTGGACAGTATACCTGTAATGGAGTAGTTTACCACTGGCCTTAGACTTTATGCCCAGCTGGAAGCAAAACAGCTCAAGGAGAAGGCAGTGGCTGCTTTCCTCTTCCCATTGCAGACAGATCATAGACAAGGAGACAATAATGCAATACTGAAAGCTCAGCTGTCAGAGCTTTAGAATTACAATGAAATTATTTCTTGGAAACTGCTAGCCAGAAATGTACATGCCTGCCATGAGTTTTGAAAATGTGGACAGCCTAGCTTAACAAAATAAACTCACTCTCGGTTCAATGGGCTGAGCTAAAGACCAACCATGGTGGGACCCCCTGATGGCCAGAACTGTATACAAAGACTGAAAGGATATTCACTTTCACTGGCAGTCCAGTAGGGTCAGTACTTATGAGTGATTGCTGCTGCTGCTGCTGCTGCTAAGTCTCTTCAGTTGTGTCCGACTCTGTGTGACCCCATAGACGGCAGCCCACCAGGCTCCGCCGTCCCTGGAATTCTCCAGGTTAGTCAGGGCTATTTCACAGGATCCTCTAGATTTAGCATCACACACACACACAATGAAGTTTACTGAATAGCTTGCTGAGGAGGAAGTGTAGGGCCTTTTAAGTGTTAGGAAGGGCTTTCATGGTAGCTATTATTGTTAGTATTAAAAGCTGATATCTTAGACAAGACGGAATGAGTAACTTTCTGTAAAAGGGTCAGAAAGTAAATATTTTGGGCTTTGTAGTTTTAATGTTTTTTTTGTTGCAACTACTCACCCTTGCTTTTGTATGTGAAAGCTGCTATAGACACAACATAAAGATTGAATGTGGCTGTGTCCAATAGACTTCTTTACAAAACACGTGATTGGCTGTACTTTGCTGACCAATGTTGTTGATTGTTCGTAAAATACATCTCAGTTTTGATTGGTGAAGAAAGAAACATGTATGTCTGGAAAGGCCTGGTGTACTGAATTTATTTAAGGTTCATGGTATTTTTCATCAGCTTCAGGTGGATAGAAGCAGGATGATAGAACAAGGCATCCAAATTTGATATCTGCAAAAATTACTTTAGGTGGAAAGTTTCCATTTACAACAATTTGTATTGAAAAAAAAAAAAAGCAAAGCACTGAGAAGAGCAGGTCTTAGATTGATTGGGGTCATTGGGAGCCAAAATCATTTAAGGGGTTGTAGGCCTAGACTATGTCTTCGTGTTTCACTGCCAAATCCACACACCATGTTAGAGGTCCCAGCACATAATCCTCTAGGAAATACTTGTTTAGGACAGGAAACACCTTTTGGTTCACTTCTCACATGGATCTCTGACCTGTCCTGTATACTGCCTCCATGAGGTAGTTCAGTTCAGTTGCTCAGTCGTGTCCAGCTCTTTGCGACCCCATGGACTGCAGCACGCCAGGCCTCCCTGTCCATCACCAACTCCCGGAGTTTACTCAAACTCATGTCCATTGAGTTGGTGATGCCATCCAACCATCTCATCCTCTGTCGTCCCCTTCTCCTCCTGCCTTCAATCTTTCCCAGCATCAGGATCTTTTCAAATGAGTCAGTTCTTTGCATCAGGTGGCTGAAGTATTGGAGTTTCAGCTTCAACATCAGTCCTTCCAATGAATATTCAGGACTGATTTCTTTTAGGATGGACTGGTTGGATCTCCTTGCTGTCCAAGAGACTCTTAAGAGTCTTCTCCAACACCACAGTTCAAAAGCATCAATTCTTTGCCGCTCAGCTTTCTTTATAGTCCAACTGTAGAGTGATTCCCTTTTTTGACTCCATCTTTTCTTATAGGAAAAGTCCCTAAAGAAATTTGTAATAAGTTATGTATTTTAACTCTCAGTAAAAGCATATGTTTGTAGATATTGTTTACAGTGGTATTAATGACTGTGGCTTGTAGGATAATTGTATTGGGGGCACATGTATAACTCTGATGGCAGTGATTTATAGGGCTAGAGCTGCCTGTGATGCTTTCTTAAAACTCCTTAAGCTGGGCTGATACTTAGAGCTGGCTCATTATGTGGGTTTTATGTGTTGTAAAAGGTATGCATTAATATGTCACCATGGGTTGGAAGGAAGGTCTTTGAAGGAAGTCTTTGTGTGGGAGCATCTGAGGAATGAGAGCTAGACAAATGTTACCATCCACAAGATACCTTTGGTGATTTTTACTGACACTTTCTCTCCAGCAGAACAAAGAACAGAATTCCAGCCCTGTCTCTCCTGCCTGGTGACTTTTTCCAGTCCACGGATCCTCCATCAATATGTGCTCTGTGGTCACTCCCTTCAGATCTTCCCAGGTTCATCTGCAGAAAGCCACTTCCTACTAGAAGCTCCAAGCTGCTTGAAAGACAAAGTAGAAGATGGAGAGAGAAAAGGCTCTGGCACTGTGTTTGGGAGGCTGCGGCTGAGTGGGACTTCAAGGGCATTTTTCAGCTCATCTCAAGGTCAGCCCGTAGACCTGGGAGGCAATAGCAGTGGAAGAATAGACCAGGGGATGATCTCTGATGAGGCAGATGCAGTATTGACAGAGACAAACATCTCAGAATCTGAAGCAGTCATATGTGAAAACTATAGACTAGGATTTAGCACAAAATCAAGCCTCTTTAGCCTCCAGAAGCATCATGTGTGCCCTGAATGTGGCAGAAACTTCTGCCAGAAGTCAGACCTCGTCAAACACCAGAGGACTCACACGGGAGAGAAGCCGTATAGTTGCAGAGAGTGTGGGCGAGGCTTTGGCCGGAAGTCCTCCCTCACCATACACCAGAGGAAGCACTCAGGGGAAAAGCCCTACATGTGCAGGGAGTGTGGGCGACACTTCAGGTATACATCCTCCTTAACTAACCATAAGAGGATACACTCCGGGGAGAGACCCTTTGTATGTCAGCAGTGTGGGAGAGGCTTCCGCCAGAAGATCGCCCTCATCCTGCACCAGAGGACACACTTGGAAGAGAAGCCCTTTGTGTGTCCAGAGTGCGGAAGAGGCTTTTGCCAGAAGGCATCACTCCTTCAACACCGTAGCTCGCATTCAGATGAGAGGCCCTTCTTGTGCCTGGAGTGTGGGCGTGGCTTCAGGCAGCAGTCACTGCTCCTCAGTCACCAGGTCACACACTCAGGCGAGAAGCCTTATGTCTGTGCTGAGTGTGGGCACAGCTTTCGCCAGAAAGTCACCCTCATCAGACACCAGAGGACACACACAGGGGAGAAGCCTTACCTGTGCTCCGAGTGTGGGCGTGGCTTTAGCCAGAAAGTCTCCCTTATGGGCCACCAGAGGACGCACACAGGTGAGAAGCCTTATGTGTGCTCTGAGTGTGGGCGTGGCTTTGGTCAGAAGGTTACCCTCATCAGACACCAGAGGACGCACACAGGGGAGAAGCCTTTTCCGTGTCCCGAGTGTGGACGTACCTTTGGCTTCAAGTCACTTCTCACCAGACACCAGAGGATACATTCAGGGGAGGAGGCTGATGTGTACGGAGTATGTGAGCAAAGGCTTGGTCCGAAGATCCAACTCACCTCTGACCAGAGGACACACTCAGGAGAAAAGCCATGTGTGTGTGATGAGTGTGGACGTGGCTTTGGCTTCAAGTCAGCCCTCATCAGACACCAGCGGACACATTCAGGAGAGAAGCCATATGTGTGTAGGGAGTGTGGTCGTGGCTTTAGCCAGAAGTCTCACCTCAACAGGCATAGGAAAACCAAGTCTGGCCATCACCTCCTGCCACAGGAGCTGTTCTCTTGACATTTCCTTTCCTTCCCCATGAGTGTCTAGGAGGCAGAAATCACTAGGAAATACTCCACTTCCCTTAAAATGCAGTTGAGAAAAAAAAAGTTGCATTTTTTCAGTGATCATAAGATAGTTGATTTATGGTTTACTTCCTGCACTGGCAATGTGTTTTAATTTGCCAGGGCTGCCATAACAAAATGCCACAGACTTGGTAGCTCAAAGAACAGAAGTTTATTTTCTCATAGTCCTGGAGACTAGAAGTCTGAGATCAATGTGTAGGCAGTTTGGTTGTTATTGAAGTTTTTCCCCTTGGCTTGCAGATGATTGCATTCTTGCTGAGTCCTGAAATGGTCATTTTTTCCCCTGTGTGTGCACTTTCCTGGTAACTCTCTCTCTTCTTTCTGAGGACACCAGCCATACTGGGTTAGGGCATCACCATATGACCTTGTAAAGGCCCTGTCATCAAATAAAGTCATGACTTTATGTGTTATGTTATGACTTCAATATGTTAATTTGGGGGAACAATTCAGTCTTAACAGCTCAGTCCTCAGGACCCCCTATATTCACATTCTTCAAGTACAAAATACATTCACCCCAAATTAACAGCAGCAAAAGTCTTAGCCCATTTCAAGTTCATCTCTACATTAAAAATCTCACCCAAGTTTCATCTAAGTTGAGTGTGGATGAGACTAGAAGTGCATTTCATCCTTTCCAGCTGTGAACCTGTGAACCAGACAAGTTATTTGCTTCCAAAACACAATGATGGGACAGGCAGAGAGTTCACATTCCCATTCTGAAAGTGGAAAGGATTTATTGGTCCCAAGCAAGTTTAAAACGTTACAAGGCAAATTCTATTAGTTTTTAAGGCATGAGAATGGTCTCTGGTTGTATCATAGTTCTGGAGACTAGAAGCCCTGTGGTCTGGTGGGTGTGGTAGAGGTGTATGTGGCCCACTGAAACCATGGGAGAACCATACTGGCTCCCCAGACTTTTACTGTCTGGGCCTGTTTTGGAAGTGGCAGACCTGCTCGTCTCTTGTTTCACCTTTGGGGTCATTCTCTCCTCTTCTTGATAGATGATGTAGTCAAATAGTTAGCTCTATTCTCCCGTCTTGTAGAATCCTAGAAGTCTAACAGCCTGCCTTCATTTTGTCCCATCTATGTCACCTTTAGTTCTACATCTGAGAAGGTTGATTGCTTCCAAACTCAACTCTTTATTAAACCATGTCTAACTACACTAAAGTATTATTTCCAGAACATGCTTCTCATTTTCTGCAACATAGATATCCATAGGCTGAGAATTTTCCAAATCTCCAAATTCTAGTTCTCAGAATTTTGTTTAATAGTTCCTTCAATTTATCTTTCTACTGTCACGTTTTACTGTATGGAGGGAAAAACCAGGTTGCATGTGTAACACTTTGCTTAGAAATCTCCTTAGCTAAAAATTTGTTGCTTATGTCACAATTTCTACTTTCCACAAAACACTGAAACACAGGCCAGGTTCTTTGCCACTTTATAACAAGGATTGTCTTTCCTGCAATTTCCAGTAATATGTTCCTTATTTCTGCACCAGAATCACTTTTAATGTCCATATTCCTACCAACAGTCTCTTTTAGACAAAAGACTTTTTATAACAAGTGCCTCAAACCTCTTCCAGCTTCTCCCATCACCCAGTTCCAAAGCTATTCCATATTTTCAGATATTACCCTCAGTACCAAAATTGTATTTGTTTGCTAAGACTGGCATTACAATACCAAAGGCTGGAATGACTAAGTGACAGAAATTTATTTTCTCAGTTATGGAGGCTGCAAGTCCATTAAGGTGTTGACAGGGTTGTTTTCTATTTAAGTCTCTCTCCTTGGCTTGCAGATGGCTGCCTTCTTGCTGTGTCATCATGCAGGCTTCTGCACATGTGCTGGAGAGAGAAAGTGAGCTCTGGTATCTCTTACTCTTATAAGGACACCAGCCCAATTGGATAAATACCTCATCCTTTGCCACTCTTTAATCTTAATTACCTCCTTATGAGCCCTATGTCCAAATACTGGAGAGTTAGAGGTTCCCAGCCTGAGATGCTTGCACTGGCACTTCCCATCCTGAGACGCTTTATGCACACTGACCATGGCCAGTGAGGGCTGGGTATTGAGGCTTAGGCTTCAGCAGTCAGACTCCAGGGAGAAGGCTGGGGTTGACTACCTTGAAGACAGTCTGAGGGGGCTAGTACAGGACATTTGAGGAAGTCTAGGAAAAAGCTTGGCCTGCCAGAGAGGCAAGAGATCATTGTTCAGTTTAGTTCAGTCACTCCATTGTGTCTGACTCTTTGTGACCCCCATGGACTGCAGCACACCAGGCTTCCCTGTCCATCACCAACTCCTGGAGCTTGCTCAAACTCATATCCATTGTGTCAGTGATGCCATCCAACCATCTCATCTTCTGTCATCCCCTTCTCCTCCTGCTTTCAATCTTTCCCAGCATCAGGATCTATTCTAATGAGTCAGCTGTTCACATCAGGTGGCCAAAGTATTGGAGAAACATGCAACAAATGAAGGAGCATGGTAAAAGCCCACCAGACCAAACAGATGAAGAGGAAATAGGCAGTCTACCTGAGAAAGAATTCAAAGTAATGATAGTAAAGATGATCCAAAGTCTTGGTATTAAAATGGAGACACAGTTATGGATTGAAGAGATACAAGACATGTTTAGTAAGGACCTAGAAGAAATAACAGATAATCAGCAATGAACAACAAAATGACTGAAATAAGAAAATACATTAGAGGGAACCAATAGTGGAATGTGGCAGAAGAATGGTTAAGTGACCTGGAAGATAGAATGATGGAAATAACTGAAACAGAATAGAATAAAGAAAAAAAAAATTAAAAAAATGAGGACAGTCTCAGAGACCTCTGGGACATTAAGTACACCAATATTCAAATTATAGGGGTCCCAAAAGGAGAGAAAAAGGGTATGAGAAAATATTTGAGGAGATTAGAGTTGAAAATTTATCTAACATAAGGAAGGAAACAGCCAGCTTAAGTCCAGGTAACCCAGAGAGTCCTATAAAGGGTATACCCAAGGAGACACATGCCAAGACACATATTAATCAAACTAACAAAAATTAAATGCAACATTGTTAAAAATCAGCAAGGGAAAGAAAAAAATAGCATATTAGGGAATGCCCACAAGGTTAATAGCTGATATTTCAGCAGAAACTATTCAAGGCAAAAGGGGTATACTTAGAGTGATGAAATGAAAATACCTGCAACCAAGATTACCCAGCAAGGATTTCATTTAGATTTGACGGAGAAATCAAAAGCTTTACAGACAATCAAAAATTAAGAGAATTCAGCACCACAAAACCAGTTTTACAACAAATGCTAGAGGAACTTCTCTGGACAGGACACATAATAGAAAAGACTTACAAAAACACAAAACAATAAAGTAAATGCTAATAGGATCATACATGTCAAGAATTAAACATAAATGGATTAAATGTTCCAACAAAAATACAGACTGGCTGAATGAATAGAAAAACAAGACTCCTATATATGCTGTCTACAAGAGACCCATTTCAGAGCTAGGGACCCATGCAGACTAAAAGTGAGGGACTGGAAGAAGATATTCCATGCAAATGGAAGTCAAAAAAAGAGGAGAGTAGCAATACTCAGATAAAATTGACTTTAAAATAAAGGTCATTACAAAAGATAATGAAGGACACTACATAGTGATCAAGGGATCAGTACAAGAAGAAGATATAACAGTTATATATGCACAGGAGGACCTCAAATGCTAGCAGGGGAATGCTAAAAGGGGAAATTGACAGTAACACAATCATAGTGGGGGATTTTAACACCCTACTCACAGTAATGGACAGATCATCCAGACAGAAAATTAATAAGGAAACACAAGCCTTAAATGACACATTGATCCAGGGGACCTAATTGGTGTTTTCAGTATATTCCATCCAAAAACTGTAGAATACATTTTTTTCTCAAATACACATTGAACATTCTCCAAGATAGATTACATCTTGGGTCACAAATCAAGCCTTGGTAAATTTAAGAAAATTGAAATTGTATCAAGCATTTTTTTCTGACCACAACAATATAAGATTAGATAGCAATAATGGGGGGGGGGGGAAGACTTTGAAAAACACAAACATATGGAGGCTAGACAATACACTTCTAAATAATCAAGTGGTCACTGAAGAATTCAAAGAGGAAATTAAAAAAATACTGAGAAACAAATGACAATGAAAACATTACAACTCAAAACCTAAGGGATTCAGTAAAAGCAGTGCTAAGAGGGATGTTTAAGCAATAAAAGCCTACCTCAGAAAATGAGAAAAATATCAAATAGACAACCTAACTTTATACCTAAAGCAACTAGAAAAACAACAACAACAATGAAACCCTAAAGCAACTAGAAAAAGAAGAGAAAAAAAACCCCAAAATTAGCATCAGGAAAGAAATCTTAAATATAGAGCAGCAGTTTTAAGTGTTAAAAGTGTACAAGTTGCTTTGTTACAATAAAACTAAATGTGTACACAAAGGAAAAAAAATATCAGAGCAGAAATAAATGAAGAAGGAAACATTAACAAAGAATAAATCTAAAGAGTTCTTTGAGATGATAAACAATATTGACAAACCATTAGCCAGACTCATCGAGGCTAAAAGGGAGAAGACAATAAGAAATGAAAAAGAAGTTACAACAGAAAAGGCAGAAATATAAAGGATAATAAGAGACTACTATAAGCAACTATATGCCAATAAAATGGACAATCTGGAAGAAATGAACAAATTCCCAGGAAGTACAACCTTCCAAGACTGAACCAGGAAGAAATGGAAAACGTGAACAGACCAGTCACAAGCACTGAGATTGAAATTCTGATCAAAAGTCTTCCAGCAAACAAAAGTCCAGGGCCACATGGCTTCACAGGCAAATTCTATCAAACATTTAGAGAAGAGATAACACCTATCCTGCTCAAACTGTTCCAAACAATTGCAGAGGGACAAACACTCCAAAACTCAGTCTGCGAGGCCACTATCACCCTGATTCCAAAACCAGATAAAGATATCACAAAAAAAGAAAATTACAGATCAATTTCATCCATGATGAACATAGATGCAAAAATCCTCAACAAAATACTAGTGAACAGAAGCCAACAACACATTAAAAGGATAATTTACCATGATCAAATGGGGTTTATCCCAGGATGTAAGCATACTTCAATATATGTGAATCAATCAATGTGATACACCATATTAACAAACTGGAAAAAAGCCAAAAACATATGATCATCTCTATAGATGCAGAAAAAACACAAGACTATTATTCAATCTAATTTTGGAAGTCCTAGTCACAGCAATCAGAAATGAAAAGGAGAGAAAAGCCAACCAGAGTAGAAGAAGTAAACCTCTCACTGTTCGCAGATGTACTTATACTATATGTAGAAAACCCTAAAGGTGCCACCAGAAAATTACTAGAGCTACTTAAT